ATTTCATTTCAGCACCAGACAGAGGTGCTGAAAAAGCCCTGTGAGCCTTGTGGAGATTCAGGCCACGTAAGGAGGTGATTAATTGCTCATGTAGTCTCCTTTCAGCCTTGGGTCTTTTCTTTAAGTTTGGGTGCCCCCTTCTGCATGAAGGGCTTATGCATTTTCAGTAGTTTTCCCTAAAAGTCTGTTTGCCAAAAATAGCTTTGCTACTTTTTTTTTTTTAGAGTCTCCTCTTTATTAGAGGATCCTGAAATTTCAAACTAAGCGTTGACATGGTTTTTATAGGTGTCTTGGTATCAAACTGGGCACCATCATGTCATTGAGTTTAGGACATTCCCTTAAATTGTATCTTTTTTTTTTCCTTTGCTACTTTTTAGAAGCAGTTATTATTAGGTTTTTTTAATTCTGGAAAATATTTGAAAACATAATCCAGATAACCCTGCTTAACATTCCTTTTTAAAAAGTGCATTCTTAGATGAAGCTACACAGCCTCCCAAAGCAGAACATTCAGGAATTTCTACGTATTCTGTTATATACCTCAGAGTTTGTGTATATGGTTTCCACTTAATGTCATGTTGAGACATACAAATATTTGCTCTAGGACAGGCATTTCTGACAACTCTTTAGAGGGGATTAGATGTGGGAAAAATGCAGTGCCCTCCCTGCTGGAGTCCAGAGGATAATTTTGGCTGAAATTCTAATTAATAGTTTGTGCATAATATTCCTTTGAGTAATGTGTCATTTGGGTCTCTGCTTACAAGTGACCCAACTAATTAATTTAGTTTCAGACAGGACATACTTTTATGAATCTGGCACTTGGGATTGGAAAACTTTCAAAAATTTTCTCTGCTTCTTTTTGCTTAGCTACTCCCATTTTTTTCTCTGAATAGGCTGGTTTTCTCAGATCCCCAGATCAAATGGTAGAAAACATGGCTGCTCCGTACTTTCCAAGATTCCATCTCTCTGAAGAGTCCATTTTAGCCTGAGCTCAAAATCCCTTAGTTCTAATGTCAGATTTCTGAAAAATAAATTATTTGTCCAACTTGGAGTGTTCTTTCAAAAACCAACAAGTTATTAACAGGAGGTCACATTGACTGTAGGTGAGGGGTGTTTTCCAGGAACAAGATGCTAGACTGACAGCTCAGTCATTGTCTAAACTTACAAACTTTTAGGTAATTCTATAACTTTCTAGATACAAAGTTGCAGTATCAGTCGTGTAACTGAGTAAAATTCCAGTCTATTTCTGAATTAGTGTCAATGGCCCTTAACCACCAGACTTTTTTTTTTTTGGCAGTGCTGCGGTTTGAACTCAGGGCCTTCACCTTGAGCCACTGCACCAGCCCTTTTTATGTGGTGGGTTTTTTGAGATAAGGTCTCCCAAAATGTTTGCCTGGGCTGGCTTCGAACTGTGATCCTGTGCTAGGATTACAGGCGTGAGCCACCGGCGCCTTGCTTAACCAGACTCCTTAATTCCATTTCCCTGACTGTAATTTCCTTTCCTCATCATTTTTATCTCTTTTATAGCATTGCAGAACTTTATTTTATGTAGTGTTCAATTTATTCCTTTATAAACTGATATCAAATATCTTAAGCGAGCTAGTGATTCCTGGAGGAAGATGGTGGGTGTTGAGAAGGAAGGCCCTGGACCAAGAGGCAGAGGTCTGAGTGTGAACCTTGAACTTACCACAAACTCAACAAATATGGCAGTACTACAGAAAACTGCCAAGCTTACCACACGCTTGCTGTGTGAGTACATAGAGAGTACTTCCTAAACTCCAGGTGTGGTATCCAGAAATTACTCTTGGACTTTTGACTTTGATATGGGGAATGGGAGGTACAGAAACAGGAGCCTTGCCCCCACTCAGAGACTGAAGATGGCTGTGATCTGGTGGAAGAGCCTTTAAAGCACAGTTGTGCTGTGTGTACATGAGAAAGTCAGGTTAGCTCTTCAGGATGGCTCCCATATGAAGATAATCCATGCTGACGTTCTTGGTGAATTATAGAATAAACTTAGCTTTGTAATGGTTCTGTCTTGGCAAAGGGGAGTGCACTGTTTAGTTATTTTGACATAATCACATACCCTAATACACAAATGTACAGTAATGGTTTAAACACCATTAAGGTAGCACGTGGTAGCACCAAAGATCTCAGTGACCTTTGCCAAGAGGTCCCAGCTGTAAACTTTTGATGTTTATGTGCCTACAAATCTTTCTACCACTCATGGAAATTTTTGGCTCTGATTGTAGTTACTAGCTAGCTATGTGTGACCTTTCTGAGATAGGGTCTTACTAACTTTTTGCCAGGGCTTCTCAGTCTCTGCCTCCTGAGTAGTTGGGATACAGGCATGTATCATCATCCCTGGCCACAGTTTTCTCATCTTTAAAATTGAGATAACTAGTGTAGAGTACAGAATTGTTGTAAGAACAACAATTAGTGAAACGTTAAGTATTTAGAACAGTATCTAGTACTGGTAAGTGATCAGTAAGTATTAAACTAACTTTGATTTTTTTTTTCACTTAGTGTCATTTTTGTTTTCTGCTACTTTGTAAAACCTCTCTAAATTTGTTAAACCTATGAAGTGCTGCTTGCATCTAGCTTCAGCAAATAGTATTTTCTCTCTTTTTAAGTTTTTATTGTGGAAACTTTCAGCCATATCCAGAAGCAAAAAGGATAACATAACCAATCCAGTTAGCTGTTTCCATGTGATCTGGGCTTGCTGATACTCATGACTTTCTGAAATCTTCTCCCCTCACCTGAGGGCTAGACCTGTTGACTGACTTCTAACCAGTAAAACTACAGCAAAAGTGATGAGACGTCACACTGAGATTAGGTTACAGAAAGGGTTCTTGTAGTTCTCATAAAGAAAGTATTTATTTTGCATGCCTTCTTTCTGCCCTCCTACTCAATCACTTGGAGGGGAATTAGCTGTCATGCTGTGAGCATCCCACCTGGCAAGGACCTAAGAGAAGTACTCAGGGCCACTGGGAACCTGGCACCTCCGTCCAGCAGCCAGAGTGGGCCCAATGAGTCAGAGGCAGATCTTGTCCAATCTGAGGCTTCAGATGTGGCCTGCCTTCTGACCACACCAGCAGCTTCCTAAGAGACCTGGCATCAGAGCCATTTAGCACAGGTCCATGAGATTATGAACGCTTCTCCCAAGGGCTGAGGCAGTTCTCATGCATCTGAGGTTACTCTGCTAGTCCATTTTCTGTTGCTGTAACAGAATACCTGAGACTGGGTTATGTATAAAGAAAAGAAGTACATTGTATGTGTATGTGAAAAGATCACAATGAAACCCATTTTAAAAAAAGATAAGAAATGAAATTTTCTTTAGCTCATTGTTCAGAGGCTTAAACTGTCTAAGATTAGATGGCTACATTTTCTTAGTTTTTGGTGGGGCCACGAGCTGCTTCAACTTACGGTAGAAAACCAAAGGGAGCAAAAGGGGCTGAACTTATGCAACAGCTGACCCATTCCTTCAGGGAAAACATGGCTCGAGCCACCTCTTCCAGGCCTCAGCACCATCACAGTGGGGCCTGAACCTACACGTGACTTTTGGTGGGAAAAACCATATGTAAACCACAGTCATTACTAAGACACCAGACTTAGACATAAGCCTCCATGCCTGTGGGTGCTGCTGACAGGAAATAATAAAAAGAAAACAGCACGTGCATGAGTGTGTACTGTGTTAGCTACTGTAAGTAACCTGGAAATGGTTTAATGTATTTGAGAGGGGTATCTGCATTATCACAAACACTAAGCTCTGTTTACATGGGAGACTCGCCAGCCACAGGGGTCACTGAGCTCAGACATGGAGGGCAATTCCCCACTCCTTAGCCCTTTCAGCTATTTTTCTAGGTTTATTGGGGCATAGTTTTAAGCATTAAAACAATGTAAACCTTTAAAATGCAGCCAATTTAAGTGTGCAATGCCATGATGAAATTCATGGAGTCGTGCAGTCATCACTATGAGTCAGCTTTAGGACGTTAAGGTTAGGGTTAGGGTTTTAATTTCTCTCATCCTCTCCGCCACTTGTCTGTTTTGTTGATTGCAGACATTCTTAAGAGTGTGTATTGATGCTATCTTACTGTAATTTTAATGTACAAGTCCCTAATACGGAAGCTGTTGAGTATCTTCCTGTGTGCATATTAGCCATTCACCTATCTTCTTTTGTAGAGTATCCATTGAAATGTTTTGCTCATTTTTAGTTAAGTTGTTAGTATTTATTACTCAGTTGTAAAAATTCTTTTTAAGTTTTAACAAGGATTTATTTTAATACAACAGAATGAAGCGGGGAGAAATCTAAAGATGAGAGCGAAAAGACATCTGCTAGAGGTACAGTAGTGGGAGACAAGCCTCCAGTTGTTAAATTTCTTTATATAGATATTCCTTGACTTAGGATGAGATGATAACCAGATAAAAGTCAACCATCATAAGTTGAGAATACCCTGTCACAAATGCATTTACTACCCCTAACCTACCAAATAACATAGCTTAACAGTACTGTGGACTATCAGTGCATACCTTCAAATCATGTGGGACTGTGGATTGTGGCTTGTTGCCACTGCCGTTATCATGAGAGTATATTATACTGCATTGATATGCGGTATGATAACCTGGGAAAAGAATCAGAATTCAAAGAATGGTTTTTACTTAATGCACGTTGCTTTTGTGCCATTATATAGTCAGAACATAGTATGTGAATGAGTTGAGGATCATCTGTGTGTTAGTCCTTTTCAGATACGCAGTTTGCAAATATTTTCTCAATCCACAGCTTATCTTAATTTTCTTAATGTTGTTCTTTGAAGTACAAAAAGTCTAAGTTTTTCTTTTATGGATTGTGCTTTTGTGGTTGATGTTTCTAAGCCATAGCCACCCAAATGTTTTCTTTTTCTTTTCCTTTTTTTGAGATGGGGTCTCCCTTATATAGCACAGTTTGGCCTCTACTTTAGGATCCTCCTGTCTCAGCTTCCCAAGTGCTGAGGTTATAGGTGTGTACCACTATGTCCATTTCCTGTGTTTTCTTCTTTTTAAGTTCTTACCTTTTAAGCCTATGATGTATTTTAGTTACTTTTTTGTACAGTATGAGAGAAGGTTTCAAATTAACCATTCATACATAGATATCCAGTTATGTCAGTATGGTTGAAAAGCTCTCCTTTCCCCATTGAATTGACTTGAAACCTTTGTCAAAAATCATTTGGCCAGGCAGACACTTGGGTGTGTGCCAGTAGTCACAGTGACTTAGGAGAGGGAGGACTGCTTGAACTTAGAGGAGTTTGAGGCCAAACTGGGGAATGTAGTGAGACTGATTCAAACTAATAATAATGATAATAACAATAATTTGGTTATAAGTGTAAAGCTTTATTTATAGACCCTCAATTCTGTCTTATTTATTGTATATACAATCTTACTACAGTTACCTTTATCATTGTAGTTTTGTAGCAAAGTTAGAATGTTTAGTAGTCAAGTTATATAATTTTTCTCATTTTGCTCTCTGTCTTCTCTGCATGGGCTTATGGTTGGCTGGGAGTATGTTGGTAGCTTGACCTTTCTGGTGTCTTCCACATAATGTGTGTGAAGCTTATCAGCTTGTTCTATGCGATCTCATCTGGATTTGCTTGTTATATTTCTGCATGGTCTGAAGGTTTGTTTGATTCAGCCAGGATGGGAGCCTTAGGCTAGCTGAGCCATTGACTTTTTCAGCTCATCTGTCAGGGAGCTCACAGTTGTGATGACAATGCTGCTGGGCGTGGGAACCTTGGTTACCTGGTCCAAATCCAGTCAACCCTCTCTACCATTAAAACTGCAGGTTTTCACAGCTTATCCCTCATGGGTTGTAGGCACAGCCCTAGTAGGTAAGGCTGCCATACACTCGAGTTCAGTGGTTTTTCATTTGGTATCACCTGTGGTTGGTGTCCAGCTTTCTAAGGTGGTTGTCTTGACAGTTTATCCAAGCTTATCATTGCTATTGGTGCCACAGGATTTGTTCAGTAACAAATTCACCATCCAGAAGTCCTGCCTTATTTTATTTTTTAATTTTTTATTATATAGTTTTGGCTTTACAAACAATGACAAACATTTTAAACTGGCCATGGTGGCATGCATCTAATAGTCTCAGCTATTTGGGAAGCTGAGGTAGAAGAATCACTTGAGCCCAGGAGTTCAAGACCAGCCTGGGCAACATAGACAGACTCCCATCTGATCTCTAAGGCACTAAAGTGAGAAACATACATTTTTTTAAAAGAATTAAATCATAACTCATCTATTATTTATATATGTACCTACTTCCCTCCCCCATTATAACTTTAATGCAAATCATAGACTTTATTTCCATTTGTAAATATTTCTGCATCTATCTCTAAATGATAACGTGTTTTCTTCCAGTGTAATGAGAATACTATTATCATGCATTAAAAAATTCATAGTAATTTCTTAATTCTTTCCATATCTAGTCAGTTTTCAAATTTCTAGTGGTTTCATAAATGTCAAACATTGTTTTGCTTTGTTTTTACAACTGTTTATTTGGATCAGGATCCAAGTAAGCTTCATGTATTACAATAATTGATGTGTCTCTCAGGTCTCTTGTCATCTGTGTTTTTTTCTCTTTCTTTGTCGCTTCACTTTTAGTAATCTAGGCTACTTGTCCATGATAGTAGACTGTTTAAGTCCCTGCATTCTCTCCCATTGTGTTGCTTGGTTCTCTGTAATTTCCTCTAAGTTGGTAGTTGGATCAAAAGCTGTTCTGTAATATAGTAGCCACTAACCACATATAAGCTGCAATTAATTAAAATTAAGTAGAATTTGAATATCACTTCTTCAGTCTTTGTGGCTACTCTTCAGATACCCAATAGCCATATGTGTCTCTAGAAGTTTCCATATCGGACAGTGCAGAAAGAACATTTTTATCAATGTAGAAACTTCTGTGGAACAGCACAAATCAAGAAGTTAGATCAGATTCAAGTTTGAGGTTTTTTTTCCTTTGTGGAATATTCCAATCATATAACAAATGGTTATATGTTCTCCTATCATGAGATATTTTTTGTCTGATTATCTCTCTTTAAATGATGTTAGGTGACTGTTACTTATCTCTTATTTCACAGAAGTTACAAAATGATGATATTACAATTCTATCATTCATGCTTCATTTTTTTGTCTGGAGTAGGTACTCTGTAAACAGAGACTCTCTTCACTTGTTAATTGGTTACTTAGCAATTACCCAGGAGTAGGTTCATATAGAAAAGGTTGGATAATTTCTTAATTCCTTGCTTATTTGAAAGTAATATATTTAAACTATACTCAACCTGACGTAGAAGGTGGTTTTATTTCCCTTATTAATTTAGTGGAGTCCTTAAAGCAAATATGATTAGCATGCTACATAACAATATTATAGAGCTTGTTTTAGACATTAAATTTTTATTAATGGATAAAATATTAAACCATGATGGATTTTTAGGGCGTCCTGGGTACAATCTCTCAAACATGTTTGCTATTTATATAGTTGGTGTAAGATAAACTCCTACATAGCATTATGATCTTATTATGAATGTACATGGTACTTCCATCACAGCAGAAAAATATTAGTTGATTAAAAAGTCAGTTTATGTGTTTGTTTGTTTGTTTGTTTAGGGGATGCTAGGAATTGAACTCAGGGCCTCCTGCATGCTAAGCATGCATTCTACCACTGAGCTTTGCCCCAGCCCCAAATTTGTTTTTAAATACAAGTCATGTTCAGGTCTGATGGGAGTCATCCTCACATAGGATTTTCTGAAAGAATTATCTATAGGCAAGTGTTCAATCAATTATGAATTTAAGTGGAAGCTACAAAATATTTATACAACTACGAAGAATCTACCTGTATTAGGTGGTTATAGTCTTGCACCTTGTACCCACACCAGGGGCAAAATTGGGTCATTACTATAAAATCTTAAAATTGTTCAAGATGAACTTTTTAATAGTCATTTTCCTTTTTTTTTGGTTTTTCCTCCTTTTCTCCTTTATTTCAAGGTTAAATTTTATTTTATTTGTTTTTTTCAAAGTTTAATGATGATTTACTTCAATCATTGCATGTCAAAATACATTTTATCATTACAGTCAGTACTTTTTTTTAAAAGAACATTTTATAATGTCTTAGTCTGTTTTTTGCTGCTAAAACAGAATACTTGAGACTGGGTAAGTTACCAAGAAAGATAATGTATTTCTTACAATTTGGGAGGCTGGGGAGTCCAACAACAAGGTGAGAGACCTGGCAGGGTGAGTGAGCATGCAAGACAGCCAAGAGGTCAGGAGTGCTGAGGACCCTACACTGGCTCTCACAAGGACCAGCCCGCCCTGTGACACGCCTTAATCCATCCTCCTCATGGCCTCGCTCTCCAACACCTCGAAATAAAATTTAACTCAGTAACTTAAATTTCAACATTCACACCATGACAACCGTTCAGGAAGATACACTAGAAAATATAGTGAATTGTATTTATAAACCAATATCAAATGCATTATTTACTAACTACATGTTATTCTTGCTTGTTTTTTGAGCTTAGAGGGCAGACTTACTATTTTAATTATAGGTCATTGAAATGCTCTTGAAAATTTTTGTAGGAAATTTTAAAATGATCTTGTTTTCAGTTAGAACTTTCAATATCGATAAGTCGTGCTTTTTATTTAAACGATCTGTAACACTCGGGATCATTTGAAGTAGTGGAGCATTAAGGGAGTAGTGTTGTGAAGTTAATTTGAGACAGGTGAGGTCAAAGGGGCAGGCATCACTAATTAAAGCCTGTGGTTTGAGAGGACACCAGAAAGCCTTGGGGACCACCAGAGGCAGCTACATTAAGCCACTGCTTGGTGAGTTTGGTTTTCATCTTTTAACTGAGAGATAGTCTTTCAGTTACTGTTGGATGAACTCAGTGTGCACAGGTCTTAGAGTAGAGCGTACCTTGTGTTAACCAAGGTGAGTTATATCCTTCATGGACTCCCATCCTCAGAACCATTTCCCAAAAAGTGGGCTTGCAGCAGTTAGAAAACAGAGCCACTTTGCCTGCATTTCAGATAGTTCTTGACTGAAACTGTGATTTCAGAGGTCTGTATTAAGCTTTTCCCTGTATTGAGAATCCAAACTCCAAAGTCCAGTGTTCCTGTATCCATACATGGGTAGCAAATTTAAACTTGTTGGATTTCTTTAATTTGTACAAGTGTCTGTTATTTGGACTTACAATTTGTATAAAAGTGGCCCAATTCTCCCGTCCTGACTCTATTTACTGAAAAGTTGCTCTTGGTGAAGAGGAATGGAAACCTTGTCACAGTTGAGTAAGTCATTCCAATACTATAGAAGAGTAGGATAAAGATGAGTAGATGTCAACTTGAAATTTTCTTTGTCAGAGGATTTGGGATTTTTCATACCTACTGCTCATTGTGTCTTTCAAAGATAATTTTCTGTTCTTTCAGACTAAATTTCTACTGATGTATCAGTTTATAAGCTAGCCCTCTTGTATAATTAAAGCAATCTTAATTAGGAATCTGAGAATGCTTTGAAAATCATAATATGTCTGAAAGTTTAAGGGTTTGCCTGCCTGTGTATCTAATAATTGTAGGAGCTTTTAAATCCTCTTATTAAAACAACCAGACCCTTGATAATAAGCATTTTTTTAACTGGTAATATGGCCAATAACTGTTGTTGCTCATTGTGGCAGATTAAAAATTTTCTTCTATATTAATAGAACCTTGCTATAAGTCTGCCCTGTGGTTTTTTAAATGATAAAATTGCATGCAGTTCATTTCAGTTGGTAGTTATAACCGTGTGGATAAATGATCTTAAATTCATTTACGTCTTCTCTTAACAATCCTGTTAATATTTGGTCTACATTGTATAATTTTTGAAGTAGCATAGTGCAGGTAATGTTGGTAATCCTTTTTTTCAATAAAGCATCACTGAGAATGCAGTTTCAAGAATTCCGCTTTCCAAATTCACTGTGTATTTTACTTTCTTTATATGTGTTTATATACATCTGTGTATATGCATGTTTATATGTATGGATAAAATATTCCTAGACTTTCCTCTGTATTGCACTTTTTCTTTAAAAATTTAAAGGCGATTTAAATGTTGAATTTAACATTTCTTTCCAGACATTGTTATACTTGTAAGCAGTTCTGCTTGGCTATAGGTTTATCAGTAACCTTTGCTCATAATGTGATATTGTCTGAATGTCTTATTTTGTTCAGCTTTTCCTGGCACTGATGAAGCCTAAGGCTGCTGTTTCTTTGAGTTACTGATAATTTTTTATCTGATTAACTGACACATTTAGTTGAAATCAGACACAGCCCTTAGGCTGGGCATGGATTTAATTTAAAAAGTATCAAAGGTTTGCTCTGTGTGCTATTTAATCATCATGTTTATCAGGCAAAGAAAAATTACCAGAAGGACCATAGGGAGAGGGTTATCTTAAGGAGCAGTAGCTTGGGAAATTGGTAATGGCTACAGGGTAATTTACTGCTAACTTTTACATTCATTAATATAACATTTCCCACTAATAATTACAGTGCATGTAATATACTAATTAAATTGAAAGCATTATCACTAATTTTCCTTTTGCTAAACCCTAAGATAGCTGAATCAGAAGTGAGAATGTGAAATTGAAGAAAGCCGATATAATCACAACAATTTAAACAATTGACTAGTTGGCCAGTTAGGACACTTTAAAGATAGGACATGCAGTCACTGTGAATGTTTAGAAGAACTCACATTAGGCTGTGATGAAGATGTGAAATTTCTAAGTGAATGAAATGACTAGGTGCTATGGGTTTATAAAACACAACGCTGCTCCAACCTGAAAAAGTAATTCATCTACCAGGAACCAGTGCATCGGCATTTTCTGTGAGTGAGGTGGCACCACTCTCATGAGTAGGTATGCTGGGTAGATGGAGTGCACTGATACCATGGAGCCTGGGCACTGCCTTTGTTTGTTACGTAGCATTCAATACTATAATGTAATTTGCTTTCTACTGAAAAAATAGTTCATGCTACATAATGAAGCATGGCAACTACAAATTAATATTTAAGAGAAAACCTATCTCCTAGTAGGTTTCTTAACAAAACAACAGCAAAAACAAATCTGAAAAATGATTTATTTGAAGTTTTATGTAATTTAGCCAGTTATATATTGATATAGTTATTATCAATAACTAATATAATTATACATTTTAATCTATCAGTAAGCCTCCAGTGTTTTTCCCCCACTTCTATTAATGATATGCATAGAGTATAATAAAAACTAAAATAATATAATCATTTCAGCTTGTATTAAAAAATAAAACCTATAATTAAGATGCCTTATCTTTGTAGAAATAATAAAGTATTGTACCACTGCTAAATGTTTTTTGCTACAGTTCACAAATTTATTTGTTTTTGTTTTTTTTTGCAAGTCTTATGTTGTGTTCATTTTTAGAGCAGAAAAGTTTGTAGTTTCCATGGAAAGACCATGCTCAGTAGAATAATAAATCTTATTTATCAGTGAGGGAACTGAAAGCCGTAGAAATTACAATCTTGTCTTCTTTCCGCAGCTAGTCAGCATCAAAAAATGCAGCCAGTAAAACGTTATTTCTGTTTTGGGACCTCAGTCAGCTAATGATTTTACAAATCATCTAAAGATTTTATACTTTAAAGTAGCTCTATTTTTAAGCTTTTTATTAAAAATTAATAAACTTAGTCTTGTTTAAATCCTTTCCATTTCTTCTGTACCCTCTGCAGCCACTCACAGCAATGTCGTAATCGTTTGTTCTCTGATTTTTTAATTCTCATTGACTTTTTATTTTTCATCTTCTGCAGAGATGGGTAAGCTTCTTGAGGATGGAGGCTGTAGCTTATCCCATTTTTTTGTGTTCTCCAATTTAATGTTCTGTTCACATTTACTGTTACTTTTGCTCTGCCACTCTTACCTCTCTCTTGGCTGTGTTCCTTATCCCGTCTTTTCTACATTAATGCTTGCTCCTTTTGATGCTTTATGTCCAGAAAGTAATGGTGTTGAAGTGCTAATGTGGTTCAACTGACAGAACTGCAAAATGCTTCAAAGCAGCACTAGAACTCCCTTTCTTTAGAAGCTGCCGCAGAAAAGTCTGCTCTTGTATAAGTCCTTCCACAAAATGCTAAGGACTTGACCAAATAAGTAATAGCTCAACCTAACCAATACGTTCACAGTAGCGTCAGAGTCTCTAATGCTTACTGGATTGGTTGCCTGGCTATTTCAGTCAGTGCTTGCACGTGAAATAATTTGACAAGTTTGGAATACTGGCTTTAATTGGGTTTTTAATTTTAATATTCCTAATTGTGATTACAAAGATAGTTCAGAACCTAAACATACATTGATATTGATACCTACAGCTTTCAAAACTGTTTCTGATCCTTGGTCTTATTTCTAGATCTCTCCACAGCTGACTTGTGATCCTGCAGCTACAAAAATCACACTAGGAATCTCATTATCTATTGGATATACACACAGCTTAACATGGGGAAGAAGGACTATAGAAGACATCTGTATGTTTTATTAAACTCTTATTCTCCATCCTGTCTCTGTTCAGTACAGTATTTACTGTTTGGCCACCGGAGCTGGGATAACTGTCTATTCAAGATAAATTTATTTCACAGAGTCAGCCGTGTGCAGTCCTTCATCATACATACGTAGGGATGAAGTCTGAAGGAGGATCAAGTCAGCGATGGAGCTAGCTGTCCCCACTGGTTTTCAGTTCTCCCAGGTGTGGTATCAGCAGGTAGCAAAAGAGCACCATTTTAACCACTCCCTCCAAAGGCTGGTCTTTCTGCTGTACGCCTGATATCAGATAGCTTCTGCATAAAGTCATTCATGTATTTGCTACTTTTCATTGCAGTGGTGGAGCTGATATTCATTAATTAGTTTGGAGGTTGGTTGTTAACTTGAGTTTATAGAGGTCAAAGAGATTGAGGGATATAGCTGGTCCTCAGCATTTGCTTCTCTTTATTGCAATTACATATATTTATGTTTATATTTATGCTGCAACATTTTGCAAGAACATGGAGATTCTGAACATTTGAACCCTAGTAAATACATTTTTAACAACACTTTTGACAGTGGGTAGATGGGGGCTAATTGGAATAGTTCCCTTGAAGAATGCCTTCTCTTAAAGACAGGTGGAGAAATTAAAGAGCGTTTAGAAATCCATTTCCTAGCAGGTTTTCTAAGGGCCAAGGCTTAAAAGATCTGCTGATCTTATTTACTTACTGAGTACTTTCACCTGGTACAGAATGCACAGTGCTCAAAGGTGTATCCTTTCCCTCACCTACTCAGTTTCCACCTCCCTCCAATCTGTGTGACCTAGAAATCTTTCATATCTATAAAAGCCATGTTCTGTCCCTTGCATTTTCATTTAATGATATATTCTGAAAAAAATTCATTCTTATTGATGATGTGCTTTAATATTCTGTTGTATGTATATATGATTGTTTATTTAACCACTACTCCACTGATGGACATTTAGGTTGTTTTCCATCATTTGCTATTGCCATGAGTGCACTCATTATTTTTTATGTTTATGAATATAGTTTTGTTCTTTGTTGGTTTGTTTCTGTTTTGTTCTGTTTCATGGGGCTGGAGTTGAAAGCCCAGGGCCTCATGCATGCTTGCAAGGTCTTCACCATTTCTGTGAGTTTTGAGGTGGAATTCTAGGTCAGAAGGAATGTGTATTTGCAGTGTTAGGTGTGACCGTAATCCTAGTTCAGCTTTCTTCACAGGTGTGCCAGTGTGCACTCCTGTTTGCCTACCTTCTTTAAAGTTCTCTGACAAAGACATTCTACGTTCTGATGAAACTTACGATTTTTTCATATTATTGACATATTCAAACGGTTTTTTTTAAGACCTTTATGTCATGAAGCTGGGTGTGTTTTTACATAGTTCTGTTGTTTCTTACCTAGACTTTTATTTTTGTTTTTCAATGAAAATAGCACATAATGTATGGTACGAGACCTGAGTCCTTTTCCCAATATTGACACCTCTGTTTAATTTGGTGAACTTATCCAAATTACAGAACGTGCTTCATCTATAAAGCTGGCACCATGACATTATTTCTTTTCCGGGCTTGGCACTAGGCTTCATTCCTGTTTGTTGAGTGATGCACATGACATTTATTAGGTAGGGTATATAGCCATGGGTTCTTTAACTGCCCATGGCTTCTAGAGGAGCATTCTTCATGCTCCTCATTTCCATGCTGCACATAGTTAGTAATGTTACTCCTACACTTTCCAGATTTGTACCCAAGAGAATCAAAAGAGGAGAATTTCAAATAGAGCTGGTAGCCCTCAGTTGTTAGTGATTTATGTGCTGACACTGAACTTTCATGATGCATTACTCCATTCTGTTTGTTAAGGTTGATGTTTTCTAGAAAGCCTTCGTTAGGTGCTGAGCTCCTTTTACGTGGGGAATGACATCTCCTTTTGTATTTCTGTATCTGGAATGCAGAGCATATGGGAACTCAAGTATTTATTGAATAATTTACTAAATAGGAAAAAATAATCTGTTGGAATTTATCTTCTCGTGATTTTTGGACAGTAATTTAGTTAGTTCCTTCTACCTTTTTTCTTCCTTTTTTCTATGTAGTTTTCATTTTTAAGTGAGTACATACTATTCGGATCATTTTGCTTGGGGCCCTAGCTTTCATATCCATTTTTGGTACCTTCCAGGTACTGCTTAGTGTCCCACAGAGGAGCAGTGGGCTTAGATGCCCATGCTCTGTTTGTTGGCTTTCCCTTGGATTTGACCAGTGGTGGCACTGGGGAGATTAGAGGGCAAAAGAAAGGGAAGGCTATTCCTCTGCTGTCACTGGGTTAGCCCTTGCTCCAGCTCCATTAGATGGGTATACCAGGGCACTTGGTCCCCAGGCTCTCCTGTGCTCCTTTCTGTCCCTGCAGCCTAGGGCAGTAACTGCTTTCTGCTACTGCCAATCCAGGTTTGCCTCACTGTGCTCTTATTTGGCTGTGTTCTAACAAGCATTGAACAGTTTAATCTTTCATTTATTATTTTTTAATTATTTTGTTGCTAAAGTATTTCAGAGACATTATCAAAATGCCTCCATCTCACTCCAGTCAGAATGGCTTTCATCAAGGGAACACCATGTAACAAATGTTGGCCAAGATAGGGGAGGAAACAGCCTGTTGGGGGTATGTAAGTCCGTTCAGTTGCTATGGAGGTCAGTATGAGGGTTCCTCAAAAACTTAAAATTAGGACTACTTTATCCTTCCAGCAAGAACACCTTGGGAGCTTCAGGGAGAAAAACTATAGTTCTACACTTCTTCTCAGTTTCATATGTAGATAGTTTGATCTGGGATGACTTTATACTTTTATAACTAAAATGGAGTCTCAGAAGTAAAATAATAGATTGTTAATTTTTAAATGAAAGATTATTCCTATCTTCTGAAATTTCTGTCATTATTTTCAGCCTTAGTGCTTGTTCCCTGTTGAATTGAGAATGCTCCTAAAGGAAGCTGATGATGTTGCAGACAAGTGATCTGATGTCCTGTCCTGAGCTCGCTGTGTCCCCAGGAGCTCCAGATAGAGCTCATTTCCTGTTTCAGACACTAAGAAAAAGTACAAAGTCACGTGAGCAAAATCTTTAGTAAGATGCCGGAATATCAGAATTATTTCACATAAAGTAATACTCAGTTCTGTGGTTTTTTTATTAGTCTGGACTTGTATAATTCCCTCAAGTGAAGATTAGAAATTTAAGAAAAAATATTTATTGCTTTTCTAGCCATATAAATCTTAGTTTAGTTGTCCAGGCCCTAGAACGTTGTGGGCAGTCACAATGCTTCTTGTTTAGTAATGTCGTATTGCCACTCAGAGCCGTGATGCAAGTGCAACTCTTTAATTAATGGTTTGTATTAAAAATGTTAGAATGCCTTTCAGTTGAAAAACACTTTAAATTCAGCAGATCATTTTTTTTTTCTCCACAGGCAGGAACTCATTACCAGAGTAATAATGGTAACTGAGTCATTTTTCAAAGAAAATAATCTCTCTGATAAATGCAAAGTACTTATCTATCTTCTCATCTTTAGAATAAATAAGGCTCATATTCATTTGTTTAAAAGAAAGGGGGGGAGTTTGTTTTCAATTTATTTTGTTGGCCTTATGAGCCAACTTTTCAGTATTGAGCCAAGTGAGTATTAAATGAGCAGATAGATTTCCACCTTTCAGCCTTCCTCCTATGGGTAACCACCATCCCTCTGTGGCCACGTGCCTTCCTCATCCCAGTCTATAGGGTATGTTGGAGCTTTGTGTGGGATGAGGACATTTCACAGTAGAATTTCTTCTCTATCCCCATGCATGTTCTTGGTACTTTACATACCATGTTAAGGAGGATTTCGTAGTAGGAGTAGTAGTAGTCAGTAATAGGAGCTGTTATCTGTGATGCACCTATTTTCTTACAATCTAGAAGGACAAAGGATCAACAGTTCTAAATGGCTAGCATTTGGAGTATAATTTTTTTTAAAAAACATGTATTTCGTAATGTCAGCCTTCAGGCAAGAATGCCCTCGTTTGTAGTTCATTTTACTAGCTTCTTTATGGATCCATTCCCCTGCATCCCTCACCACTAAATTTTAATTTCTTAAGATCACCAGCTGTGCTGTTTTCAAATATATGTTTCCCTACAACGCAGGACTTGTAACCAGTAGGACTTCTAACATTATTGTTTGATAAATAAATGAATTTTGCCTACAGTTTACCAGCACATGGGACAAGAGACAAGTATATACAGTCACATGTGACTTGTTATACTGCTGTCTGATTAAGAAAGCAGCACATGCGTCATAAAGGCATCTGAGAAGTATGAAGTTGGAAAAATGAAACACCACTATTAAGAAATAAGCACTGGTAAAATTTGGTATATTTATGTTTCTTTTTTGGTGTCAATGAATATTTTAATTACTATATTTTAGTTCTCCACCTAATTTCATATGATAAGAAATTCCTCATATTACATATCCTTGGAAAATATGGTTTTAGTGGCTGTTTTCCTTTTTCTCTTCTCAATGTCTTGTAGTTCATTCAACCTCCCTGCTGTTCTTTAGAATTTTAGGATTTTTCACTTTTGTTCTAATTATATGCAGAGTATAAATACAATGAGCTTTTTATATTTAAGCTGTTGTTTGTGTATTTCTGGTTATAAATGTAAGAGTGCAGGGTCTAAGAGAATAAGCATAATAAAGTTTCACAATGCATATTGAAAGTTGTTTTTCAACAAGGATGCGTTGGTGACTGGCCCATCAGTGGTGTATGAGGTTCTACAGTTCCCCATACACTCAGGAACTTTGAATGGTGAGAAAAACTTAAATTACACAAATCCAGATTCAGCTCATATTTCTTTTGCTTTCCTAAGGAGGTTGAAGTTAGTCATTTGTATTCTTCAAAAATTGCCTTTTAATATCCGTTTCCCAATTTTACTATTGGTTTGTTAACCTATTCTTTACTGATTTGAAAGATATTAACCCCATGTCATATATGTTATAAATGGTATTTTTCTTTATTGCCTTTGTTTTGTTTTAGGTAATTTTACATTGCCAACTTTATTAAATCATAACTACTTGTTGAATATTTTTGCATATATGCTTTTCTAGAGCCACAGGTACAGGGGAACAGGACAAAAGACCTATCCTCACAGAGTTTGAAGAATGACATTATAAAGCAAATAAGTAAATTTGTAATATAATTTTAAGTAGTGCTAGAAGAAAATAGTCAGGGAAAGAAAATTGATAGAGACAGTGAAGGAGTAGAAAGTGAAGTCTGAAAAGGCTTGAAGTCTTTGTGGTCAGCCAGTGTGCATCAGAGTGAACCAGGAGTGCCAAGTAGGTAGGTGTTGATGTCAGAAAGAGGGGCAGGACCTAGGCCAAAGAGTGCCTTGTAGACTACCCACAGGAACTTGGAATTTACTCTTAACTAGGATAAGAAGCCACTGGAAGATTTTGAATGGAGGACGCTACATGTCCTGGTTTATATTTTTGAAAGATCACTCTTGTTTCTCTATGGAAACAGAATAGTGACAAAAAAAAACTTGGAGAGGCCAGTTAGTAGTCACTAAGAGTGTTGGTTGTTGGGACTAGGGTGGTGAAGAGAAGTGCTTGGGTTTTGCATGTTTTTGGAAGGTGAAGCTAACACACTGTTGTTTGATTAGGTGTAGGTCATAAGGAAGAAGGAAATCATGGATGTCTAAAGTTTTTGGCTTAAACAGCAATAGTGCCATGGAAGAACACTGGGGAAAGACTAGTGGAATAGGTGCATATGACTGAGTCAGGAGTTTTG